TCCCACAAAGCGCTCAATTTAATGTCTGGAGCTCGACGTTCCCAACGAAAATCAACCGGGATCCAAGAAAAAATATCGATCATGCCATGCCTTTGTATTTTCCAAGAGTAGACGAACAGATAGCACCGAACAAAGGCGGGCCAAAAACACTCTCGTGGCCGAATTCTTGTGAAACCGAGCACGAATATCAACAACCACAAAGAGGAGAGGTGAATCGTTATGTACCGAGGCCCCATACTCGACCTCCGACAATATAAAAATATCCATGGAGCACGTCGAATCAATTCCAGGCATCGTTTGCACTATCTCGAACGTGTTCTCATCAAGCTCAAGCATCGGGAGCACTGACATAGGCACACTAAACTCCTCCAAATGGTCACGATCCTCAATAATACGAAACGACGACCCAAAAGACTGGGAACCACGTCATACTCAACATCAAAAGTCGACTCATCAATCAACGCACACCTTGGGTCAACGACATCACATAAAGGCTCAAAATCCTCTTCAACAACATCCAAAACATCACGATCTAACTCATCCTCCTCCTCATTATCGTCCTCCCGAGCAATTTCAAAACCATTCGGCTCATGAATAGGCACAATCAATTCCTCAAATGAGTTATTCCCCATACCATATACCATATCAACACCCGATTCCATATGCTCACCCTCAACAAAAGAATTCGAAATCAAAGCATGATCACCGGAAGAAAGAGTTGACGTACCTAGAGTGGGTTGGACGGCACAATCGTCAAGAGAAGAGATTTCCTTAACACCCAAATCATCGATGTCGTCACTCGTGTCGAGGGATTGCATTTTGTCATAAACGGGAGTGAGGCCCACCTCTTTCAAGGAGGCTAACCGATCCACCATAGCTTGAAACTCGCTCTCCAACCGGGCACTCTCCCGTATAATCCTCGCCGATAGAGAACAATATCTCCCAAGCGGAATATGAGATGCATCTAAGTCAAGAAATGTTACCACGGTGAAATCGAACTTCGTAAGTGTCGTTTGAAGAACAGATGGAATCGGAATGCTCCTCCAACTATGAAACTCTTCAATGATCGACATGAGGCTCGCAAGTGCCTCTTGAGTGCTCGCCAACACTTCTCGGTGACGTTCGGTAGGCTCAACCGTTGTTGAAATTTAAGTTTCGTAACTCGAGGTACAAGGTTGGCCAACCGATAGGTGCTCAAAGGATGGAGAGGATGGAACAAAGGTCTCGGTTTCTTTCTTTTCGGACATGGGGGCCATTGAAGCACGAAGGGATCGATTGCACTCTTCTAAATGCTCCATGATCTTGTCTAAATTGACTCGAGAAGCTTCTCGAGGTGGCTCGGGTGGAGGTGCCTTTTCATAATCGGGAGGCGGTGGATAGTAGTAGTCCGGAGGTGGAGGATTGACATAAGGTGGCACGGCATGTCCCGGAATGTCATAAGCATAATCAGCTCGAGATGTCGGGTAAAGTGGCTCGGGCCATACCCATGGGATGTAGAGCATCCATCATAAGTGTAGGTACATGAGTAACTCGGATATGAAAAAGACGGCTCTCCATATGGTGCGTACATCACCTCTTGGAAGTTGTTGGGGTGTCCACGAGACGAGCATCCAGCATAGGAATAATCATACGGGTCCATCGGAGCTCCTCAAGTGAAGTACCTCGCACAAGAACAACAAACAAAACAAGGCACACGAGACCAAGACAAAAATAACAAAAACACGAATAACACGACACAATATTTACAAAAACACAAACACCAAATAGCAAGAGAAATCGAAAACAAGCAAATAAGCAAGAGAAACACACGAAATTAAGAAATTTCACAAAAACAAGAGAAATACGGAAAAGACGTCAATCAATTGTCTAAATCCAATGGCCTATTCGCCTTCCCCGGCAACGGCGCCATTTTGTTTGTAGTATTTTTGGGCAATTGGTAACTGAGTTACCCGGATTCGGGTCGTTTTCTCAAAGGAAGGCTCTTCGGAGCTTTGTTCACTATCTAGTCGCCAAATACACAACCAAAAAGGTCATAAAACATGCTAATCGCAATTTGGGGATTTTAATTTAAGCTAAACTATCTACGAAATGAGCGAAATTGAAAGCAATTAACAAAGCAAGAGAAAGCACGCAAGAAGATGAGAGAAATAAACGGGAAAAAAGAGATTTTGGTTCGCCGGAGTCTCTATGATCAATCACACACAAATAACCGAACATTGTCATGCTAGCTAAAACCCTAGGTAGTTAAACCAAACTCTAGCACAAGACGAGCAAGCATTTAACTCCTAATCATACTTAGTCAAGCATTCACGATCCAAAGATTCAATCTTTTCCTCCAAGCAACTCAAGCACAATATCAATTTTCACAAAAGCAAACAAAGATATACGAAGTAATGAGCCTTAATACTAAGTACCCACTCTTACACACACTCGGAAAGAGAAACGGATTCAAAAGCTCGAAACCTTACTCGAAACAATGTCGCCGGAAAACTTGATTCATATGCTCCAAACCAAAATAAAAAAAAAAAAAGAAAAAGGAAAATAGAGAGGATTTTCCCAACTTAAAAGTTGGGAAATAAGAGTTGTTTCAAAAAATACAAAGCAAGATGTCTATTTATAGCTACACCACAAACACACACTAAAACACACACATTTAATGAGTGAAACTCGCAGGTTAGGCAGATTTCACGAGCAAAAAGTTCAATTTTCGCGGGCAAGGTGGTAGCTCGCGAGTGTTGGGTTTGGGCACTGGGGAACTCACGGGCTAGGCTGCTTCCGCGGGCGCTAGCGCTAGACTTTGCAGGCAGGCGCACAGGCATGGCCTCGGAGGACTCGCGGGGTAGCTCTCGTTCGCGGGCGCGAAATGAAGAAACTCACGGGCAGCAGGGAGAACTCGCGAGCAGTTAGCGCAGCATGCTGGAGACTCGCGGGCTACGGCCATTTCGCGGGCGCGGAACATGAACTCGCGGGCTAGGGAAACGGCACTCGCGGGATGGCGCATGTTCACGGGCACGAATCTTGAATTCGCGGGCACTGCTGGGCGGACTCGCGAGCTAGCGAAGTTTCGCGGGCGCGAAAATCATTTCGCGGGCACTGGGCTGTAGTGGCTTGGTCCCGGTGACCCCTTGAACTTCGATTCGCTCTAATTTCTCGCACACTTATCCGATTGACTTGAAACTTTGACCCACGCTTCTCAAATATTCTTCTCCTCGACTTGATATGTATGAATAGATGTCACCACACAATTAGTAAATATTCTCGGAATGGCTCGGAGATGGTTCGCGTGACTAGGACATGGTTCAGATGGCTCGAAAATGTCTTGGAAATGGCTCGTTTCCCCAAGCACAGTAGTGATGGACCTATTCAACACCAAAAATACAAGAAAAATACGTCGAACTACAAAAACAAAATACGAGAATAAAAATGCACGAAACACGATAAAATGGACCGGTCGACACCAAAACGAACCTAAAAATACTAAACTCAAGCACATAAAACACACAAAAATAAGCACAAAAACACAATAAACAGGATGCAACTTTAATCAGAACAAACTTTCTAATTAAAATAACACTCTCTAACAATACAATTGCAAAGAATAAAACCCTATTTATTTTTTTTCTCTCTCTTCGTATCCCACTTTTCACAGTCGGCATGCCTTAATTTTCACTTGCCTTCTCCGGCGGGGCCGTCGGACCCCTCGATGGTGGCCAGTCCCTGGCTATACAACGCAAAACCAATTTGGTGTCGGGGTCGTCTTCTCATGCAGTGGTTTTGGTCAGCTCTCTTCAGTGAATTTTGCTTGTTCGGGTTGTCATCTTGAGATGAAGGTCACCAGCTTCCATGGCGTCGAGGCGGAGGTGGGTTGCAGTGCTGCTGAGGGGGCGGATTGGAGCCGTGATTGTCGTTTTGGTGGTTGGGGCAGAGGTTAAAGTGGGCTTTCTCTATCTTGTTCCTTTCTCCCCTAGTGTTAGGGAGGACGAGATTGCCTCTATGTCGGGCCCGACTGTGGTGTGGGCTGGGAATAAGGCGGTGGTGGTGTAGAGGGATGGCTTTTTGGCTTTCCTTCGGCTGAGGGGTTGGGTCGACTACTAGGGTGTGGGTAGTTCGTGGTGTTGTTGAAAGCAATTTTGGGAGCTCTTCATGTGTTTTCTATGTCTTGTTATTGCTTACCAAATGGCATATGCAAGGAAATTGCTACATTATCAGTTGGGTTTTGGTAGAGCAAGGGAGATCAGAAAGCATGAGTCCATTGGAAAGACTAAAGCAGGAGTCCATTGGAAAGACTGGAAGAAGATTACTTTATCAAAAGAAGGGGAGGATTAGGTTTTAAAGATATGAAATTATTCAATGAAGCATTCATTCTTAAAGAAATCTGGAGGTTAGTCACTCATCCTAACTTGCTGGTTATTAAAGTAATAAAAGGGAAATAGTAATAAAAGGGAAATATTTTCTGATTGCTCTGTGCTTCAAGCAAAAAAAATCATATAATGCTTGTTGGTTATGGTACAACTGGTCGTTGGTGAAAGATAAGTTAAAACGGCTTTTTAGAGTGGAGGTGAGAATTGGAGAGAATATCAACATTTGGAATAAGGTCTAATTGCAAAATATAGCCAGTATTTTGTACGCGGTGGCAATATTAGCCACCATCTTTTCGAATTGGCAATATTAGCCAACAACTTCCAAAATTTGGGGGTTATTACCCATGTCCGACCAAATTCGATGGCTATTTTTCTCGCTACTTAAAAAGATACTGACTATATTTTGCAATTTATTTGTCGAATTTAAAATTATTTGGGTAATAATCTCAAAATTTTGAAAGTTGTTGGCTAATATTGCCAATTCATAAAGATGACGACTATTATTGCCACCAAGTACAAGATACTGGCTATATTTTACAATTTAGCCTTTGGAATAATCCATGGATCCCTGATGTTGATGATGGGTTACCTGACAAGAATGAGGTAAGAATGAAGAGAGTCAATTGGGTTAAAGATTTGATTAAGGAGGATGGTAGAACTTGGAACATGAGGCTACTTCAGGAGTGTTTTAACCAGTCTGATAAAGAGGCTATTCTGAATATCAAATCTCTGGATCCTCTTTTGTATGATAAAAATATAACAAAAGTCGATGGTCCCTGGATGATAATGGTAAATTCTCTGTTTCCAGTTCTTATTCTCATTTGGTGCTAAATAAATGGGAAAATTTCAAAAGTAGTCCCACAACTATCGGGTTTTCCACTTTTGGTCCCAATAGAATGGTGTTTCCCAAAACCGGTCCACAACTTTTTAAAATCCATCAAAAGCAGGACAATTGTGGTCCTGGATGCCTTTTCTGGCCCCGAGCTGCCAATGTGCCTTCAAATTGTCACACCTGGCCGATCAATTAACAGCATGGCTGATGACATGGCTACTAAATCCTCCTTGGCAGATGACGAGATACAGAGGGGCAGGAAAACACAATAAAATTGGGGAAATGTCCCAAATTTGAAAAAATCAGCTTCTCATTTTTTCTTCTCGCGTGAACCCTAGAACCCTAGTTCCTGAATTCGTCTCTTCAATTTTGCACACGCTGAAATCTGTTCTTGGCGAGATAAATCTCGTACGTACGAGATGTATTTGGTGAAGGGAAGTGTTGATTGCTATTGTGGTCGTAGGGCTGTGATACGGACCTCGTGACAAACGAGAACCCTGGTCGGCACTTCCATGCTTGCTTGAAGAAAGAGGTCAGTTCTGTTTTTTTTTCCCTTAATCGAATGATTATTCAGATTCCTCATTTCTTGAATTTTTTTTTCTTTTTTTTTTTAATATTCAAACGGAACATTGCAGGAAGGAGGAGGTTGTGTTTTCTTTGACTTGTATGACCCCCCAATGTGTCGTAGGGCCAAAGCACTAATTCCTGGACTTTTGAAGAAGATGAATGCAGTGAAGAAGAGATTTTGAAGCTGAAGACGAAGACACTAAGTTTGGCTGCATTGAACAGAAATTTAAAGAAAATTATTCTTGTGTTGGTTCTTTTGGTTGTGTCAATTTTCATTATTTTGAAGAACTGAAGTGTAAGGGTGATTCTGAAGAACTGAAGTGGTAGGGTGATTCTCATCATTTTGGAAACTGTATGGATGAATGTTGTTGTTTTGTTCCTTTTGAAAACTGAACTATCCTTTATGGATGAATGTTGTTGTTGTGTTCCTTTTGAAAAATGAACTATCCTCAGCTTCAGTGAATGTTAGACTATAAACTAATGTTGTGTATTCAATTTGCAGCTTATGTAATGAATGTTTGACTATATATTAATGTTTATTCATGAATTATGATCTATTTTATTTCATATACATTTATTGGTATTGTTTGTTAAGATTTTTAAACAAAAAAAGTACAATGTCTACAACATAAATAAAGTAATCAACTAACGAGCAAAACATGAACTAAATTATATTCATAAACTAAAGTGTCATTACTAAAGTTGTTTACTCACACTTCTAAATAGAAAACATGCCCCATATTTATCATCAAAACAGCTAAAACTTCTAGTCACAAACTAAGGGAGACAACAAACACTCCCAAATACAGTTTCAAAAGAACAAACACTTCAAAAAAGATGTTATTGTCCAACACTTCCAAAACTTCCATCCAAAAGCACTTACAAAACAACCTAATCAGACCAAAAACACTTCCAAAACATCAAACACAACAAACACATCAATAATCAAATGCAACAAAGACCATGTTGTTACTGATTCTTTTTCTTTCCTTTCTGCACACAAACTAAATTTTGAGAAAGGTCCATGAACTTTTGGCCACCATCAATAACAATGGACTTTGAGTTGGTTGGTTGTGAACTGAATACTGGTAGTGTATATCCACCTATTATTGGTAGGGGTGCTCTAATGTTGATCCTTGTTTGAAGAGGGTTTGGTATGAAACTGAGGACATCTTCAACTGTTGAAATGGAGTAGGGCCTGGCTTATGGTTCTACATGTGCTAATACATTGTGCTATCAGTCTGGCTTTCAATGGTTGCAACCAAATCCTCATCAGAAATTGGACTAAACATCACATCATATGGATTGAGAGGTAGAACTTTAGGATTTCCATTTGTCTGAGTTTGATTCCCACTTCCTTTTCCTTTGGTGAGCTACATAAACACATTTAAAAGTGCACATTTTATAAGTGCAAGTACAAACTAAAAAGAAAATAGAAATATTATATGACCTTTAGTTTCTCCATACATTCAGGTTGTGAATTACCAAATGGTGCTTCATTGGAATGGGTTTGGCCTTCACTTTGTTTTCCTTTATTAACATGTATATACACATGATCACAATGTTATATAGAAAAACACTTAACAAACATATAATATTATAAATAATGAAAACATTAGCATACCTTTTTCATGGATGGATTTTTACGAATCAATGCATTATGACCTGGTTCATGGCATTTCCTACATCTCACTATGCTTTGTTGACTCTTCAGTCTGTGGGGACCACTTGATGATTTCTTTCTTTCAGGGTTTTCCTCATCAGGTTCTCTCCTTCTAAGAGAACTTGGTCTGCCTCTGCCTCTACCAAAATTTGGTGGCAAAGGAGGGAGTGTACATACTTTTCCCCCATTAAGATTCACCACTCAAAGGCATTATGGTTGGTCCATAAACCTTTTTATAAACCTCAACTGAGTAGCAATGGTCTATATAGTCCACTGGATCCCTTTTTTGGTGGAGAATGGCTCTCAGGGCATGTGAACATGGTATACCACTCAATCCCCATGCTCTACAGCTGCATTTCATCTTGTCAAGAGCCATAGAATACTGATCTCTACCAGAACATGTGATTTAGTAGTTGTTATCATCTGCCTTTATGGGGATGCAGTCAAACACCATCTCCAATTGCTTCTCATAAATTTGTTGAATTTTGGGGCACAACTTGCCTTGCCACTTTGCAGCTGCCTTGTCCCTGTTTTGTTGTAGCCTCCTCATCAAATACTCTCTTATCCATTCTAGCATAGTGATTATAGGTTTCTCTCTTGCATCCAAAATGTTTGAATTGAAAGACTCACAAACATTGTTAAGCACCATATCACATTTAGAAATTTCAGTGAAATGTGACTTAGACCACTCAAAGGGTGGTTTATCATAGAACCATTCCCAGGCCTCTTGATTTAATTCCTTCATTTCCATCATCCTCAATTTGAATTCCCCTACTGTTGTAGCTTGAGCTGCCCTCCATAGGGCAGTCTTAAAACTAAGACCCCTGAAACCAGCATTTTTTAAATTGCTGTGGAGGTGTCTAACACAGAATCTATGGGGGCTGGATGGGAAAAATTCTTTAAAGGCATGAATAAGACCCTTCTGTTTGTCACTCATGAATATCATTTCCTCTTTTTTTTTTTCAATCTCAAGGTCTGACTTTAGTACAGTTAGAAACCATGACCATGTATCCCTTGTTTCCCCTCTCACTATGGCATATGCTATGGAGTAGAGATTGTTGTTGGGGTCAACTCCTACTACAGTTAACAAAATACCCCCATGTGGACCCTTCAGGGGACACCCATCTACCCCAATTATAGGACTGCAACCCCCTTGAAACCTTCTTTCAAAGCACCAAAACAACAATAGAATTTGCTAAACCTAAGTTCTCCATTTTCAGACTCAGTGTCTAAGATCACTGTGCTTCCAGGTTTTGTTTGCCTAACCTCTTCTGCATAATCCCATAGCTTAGTGTATTGCACATATGGATCACCCTCTATCACTGCAAGTGCTCTCTTCTTTGCCCTGTATGCCTGTTGTTTAGAGACATCTACCCCCAGTTTTTTTTTTATCACATTTGTCCTCCACCCTTTTGTGCTTCTCTTTAGATCAACCTCAAAATTCCAAATGTACTTTTCACTAACCCATTTACTTTTCACATTCTTCACATTAAATTCAGGAGGACAAGTATGAGTAGGTACATAAGGTCAAAGCTTGTAAGATGCTTCATCTGCTTTCTTCAGTGCATTCATTCTCCACTTGCATCCCTCAACTTTACACTGTGCATACACTCTTCTGTTGTCGTTTTTTTAAGTGCAAGCTTCTTTTACTTCTAATAGCATGAGATTGTACTGCCTTTTTGCATTATGCCTTAGTAGCAAACACCATGCGTACCTCAAATGTTGGTTTAAAAATCATGGCAGGGTTGAACACATGATCATTAGACTCACATTCATCATCAGACACTCTTCTTTCATCAAAATGAAGCACTTCATGGACTACATCATCATCCTCAAAAACACTATCTCCAGCATCAATGTTACTCACATCTACACTTCCTTTTTGCACATGAATATTACTCTCAGACACATCAACATTACTACGATGGACCACATCATCGTTATTACTCACATCTACATTACTCACATCAATATATTCTTACCATATTTCATCATCTTCACAAACTTCATTACTCATATCATAGTCAGAATCATGCAATGAATTAGAGTGAGACTCACAGTCACTAACCCCCAAAAATTTCCTAACTGTTTTCTAGGCTTCCTCAACTGGTACCCACTTACTGCCTAATTGTTTTTTCTGGATTAAGATTGGGTACAACAGGAGTTTCAACTTCCACATTAACATATATAATCAACTCTCTGCTTTTATTAGCTTGAAGTGCACAATTTTGCAGGTCAGCTTCAACATGCAATAACTTAAACCCAACTTCATCATAAATGTAATACCTCTTACCCTAACACCTGCTTGTTCACACCACTTATTCAAATATGCAAACTTCATTTCATCTTGGGAAGTATAATCAGATATAAACCTCTGCCCCCTTTCATATTTTGCTATAGGGGCATGAATAAACTTCCCACCCCAATGCATAACTGAAGAGAAACTATTTGAATCGGGATCTGAAATACTCTAAACAAAAAACAAAGAACAAAAAATAGAGTATGTACAAATAGACACAACAATAAAGAAATAAACATGTCAAAACTTTCACAAACATGTTGTCCTCTATGTGACCATTAAATATAATTCATTGAAATACAACATGATAAAAACACCACACTCCATTTACTTCCAATACAGACTATCACATGCCAAGATTCGATTTTACTATAAAACAGTAAAAAAAAAGAAAAAACATACTATACATCAGAGGAGGCAAATTTATGTGCATTTTTGGTCTCATGAAACCCATTTCTGAAAGCCTTCAACAGGTCCGTCTTCTATGGCTTGTTACCGTATGTAATCTTCTTTGCCAGATTTTCAGCATGTGCGAAATTGAAGAGACGAATTCAGGAACAAGGGTTCTGGGTTTCACGCGAGAAGAAAAAATGAGAAGCAAATTTTGTCAATTTTGGGACATTTCCCCATGTTTATTGTGTTTTCCCGCCCCTCTGTGCCTCGTCATCTGCCAAGGAGGATTTAGTAGCCATGTCATCGGCCACGCTGTTAATTGATCGGCCAAGTGTGACAATTTGAAGACACATCGACAGCTCAAGGATGGAAAAGGCATCCGAGACCACAATTTTCCTGCTTTTGATGGATTTTAAAAAGTTAGTGGACCGGTTTTGGGAAACACCATTCCATTGGGACCAAAAGTGGAAAACCCGATAGTTGTGGGACTACTTTTAAAATTTTCCCTAAATAAACTAAGAGATTAGATGTTGCTGAAGGAACTAAATTTGCCAAAAGGGAGGTGAAGATTAGGGGGAGAAGTTGGGGGCTTGAGATTAAACGGAAGCTAAATCACTTCATATCGAAGTGTTATAATAACTCTCTCCCTGTTAGTTTGAATCTGAAAAAGAGAGGTTTATATGTTGATCCAAGATGTTAGGGGTGTGATGAGGAGGTAGAGTCAATAGAACATGTTTTGTTTCAGTGTGGCAGAGCCCAAAGAATTTGGAAGTTTGCCCCAGTAGGCTGGAATGAGATGGTTGTTGTAGGTACTTTTTAAACAATGT